GGGGGGGGGGGGTGGCGGGCACAGGTGGCTCTGCCTCTAGATAGGTCACAACCAGCTGTCAATCACGCAGCTGGGTGGACCAAGAGAGTAATGTCGGGATCCGTCCCGGCTGCGGCGGTCTCATTATACGAGTTGTAGCTCGCTACATACTGAGCTTTGGGTGACGGGAGGACGCTAGTTTGTGTCCTCCCGTCACCCTTAGGAGAACTATGGGGAAAAACACTTAGCCCCCATAGTTCTCCTTTAAAGGAAATGAAGAATGTGGTCGGAGAATGGTGGAGGATGGAAGTTGGCCAGGGTCACATTCGGAGAGGTTGCTAGATCCCCGAAGGAATCTGCAACCTAAAAATGTACCCGAGGAGAATATATCGGTCTCCATGCAGACCTTGGAAGGGGTCCGGTGACACATAAATGTTGTTGGGGGAATTAAAGAGCCTAGCACTTCATTTTGGTCTGGTCCTGGGGAGGTGTATCTAACGGTAGGGTCAATCCCCCCCCCCACACAAACACACACGGAGGGTGTAGCCAAGACGCCCCAAATCCGAGCTGAAGAATCCATTAGAGAGGAGAAGGGAGTTGACATTTCTTTACTATCATCAGATTTGCTTTGGAAATAAGGAACTTCAAACCACTTCTCCTCTTCAGCCGACTCTTCAAAAATGAAACTTTACAAAAAGCGGTGGGACTTTTTTTTTGTATCTCGGAAACAGAAACTTGCAGCGGGATGAGGAAAACAACGCGTGTCAGATTCATCAAGAGACACAGGAGGTAAACATCGTGAAGAAAGTGTTAAAGGACCAACCACGAGGTCCGTCGGACGTTCCACCAACCATGTGACACGCACGGGGCCAAGCTCACTCTTCAGACCCAAGGGGGCGCACCGATGTTATCCTCCTCTTTGCTGGAAATGGAACAACCCATTTTATGGGTTTTTGACCCCATCATGTGACATACAGAGTGCCATTTCAGTTCTCCAAGCCCCCGTTGTTCACCTAGATCAGGGGTAGCCAAACTCCGGCCCTCCAGCTGTGGTGGAACTACAAATCCCATGAGGCATTGCAAGATTTTCACAGCCACAGACATGACTCCCGGAGAGAGATGCATCATGGGATTTGTAGTAATAAACCATTCTACGGGGGTTTTGACCTACCATGTGACACACACAGGGCCAAGCTCACTCTTCAAAGCAGAGGGGTTCACCTCTGTTATCCTTCTCTTTTTGCAGAAAATGGAATAACCCATTTTATGGGTTCTCTTGATCCTGCCATGTGATATCCATAGGGCCACATTCACCCTCCAAACCCCCACAGCTTACCTATGTTATCCTTCTCTTTCCAGGAAATGAGAAAAAAAAACCCCTTCAATGGGTTTCTGACCATACCACATGACATCCATATGGCCACGTTCACCCTCCAAACCCCCCAGGGCTCACTTATGGTATCCTCCTCTTTAAAGGAAATGTAATATCCCATTCTACAGTTCTTTTTGATCCCACCATGTGACATCCATAGGGCCACGTACACCCTCTAAACCCCGTTGCTCACCTATGTTATCCTTCTCTTTGCGGGAAATGGAAAAACCCCTTCTATGGGTTTCTGACCCTACATTGTGACATACATAGGGCCACGTTCACACGTCAAACCCCTGAGATTCACCTACATTACCCTTCTGTTTGCAGTAAATGGAATATCCCATTCTACAGGTTTGTTTGACCCCACGACATTGTATACATAGGGCCACGCTCACCCTCCAAACCCCCCGGGTTCACCTATGTTATGCTTTTCCTTGCAGGACATGGAATAACCCATTTTACGGTTTCTCTTGATCCTACTATGTGACATACATAGGCCCACTTTCACCCTACAAACCCCCACGTCTTACCTATGTTATCCTCCTCTTTGCAGGAAAAGGAAAAGCCCATTCTTTAGGTTTCTGACCCTACCATTGTGACATCCATAGGCCCACGCTCATCCTCCAAACCCCCTGTGGTTCACTTCTGTTATCCTTCTCTTTGCAGGAAATGGAATAACCCATTCTATGGGTTTTTCCCCCTACCATGTGACATACTTTGGGCCACGTTCACTCTTCAAACCCCCAGGGCTCACCTATGGTATCCTCCTCTTTAAAGGAAATGGAATATCCCATTCTACAGTTTTTTTGATCCCACCATGTGACATCCATAAGGCCACAATCACCCTCCAAACCCCCCCGTTTGCTCATGTTATCCTTCTCTTCGCAGGAAATGTATCAACCCATTCTACTGTTTTTTTTCCACCCTACCCTGTGACATCCATAGGGCCACCTTCACTTGTCAAACCCCTGAGATTGACCCATGATACCCTGCAGTTTGCAGTAAATGGTATACCCCATTCCACAGGTTTTTCACCCCAACACGTGACATCCTTAGGGCTACGCTCACCCTCCAAACCCCCCCCCCCGTTGCTCACCTATGTTATCCTTCTCTTAGCAGCAAATGGAATAACCCATTCTTTGGGTTTCTGACCCTACATTGTGACATACATAGGGCCACGTTCACTCGTCAAACTCCTGAGAGTCACCTACGTTACCCTTCTGTTTGCAGTAAATGGAATAACCCATTCTACAGGTTTGTTTGACCACACGACGTTGCATCCATGAGGCCACGTTCACTCTCCAAACCCCTCTTTGCACTAAATGGAAAAACCCATTCTTTGGGTTTCTGACCTACCATTGTGACATACATAGGGTCACGTTCACTCTCCAAACCCCTCTTTGCAGTAAATGGAATGACCCAGTCCACAAACCTATGTTATCCTTCTCTTTGCAGGAAATGGAATAACAGCAGATTTCTCTGTCCTGGATCGATGACAGGTGCCTGCCAAGGAAAAGAACAGAAATCAATACAACCATCATAAAAGCCACAAGACATCAACAAAACAGCCGCCAACAAGTTTGTTTCACAATGACGACCATTTTACTTTCTATACTTCCGACTCCGCACACGTGGCCTCGCCGGGGGGGTTTCATGTCAACAATGGACGACAGCTGAACAACAACAACAACAACAGATGGCTGCCCGCTGTGACACCTGCCCAAAAATAGATGCCTCTCCATCATAAGGCATCGATTCATACATGTGGGCCTCTCTGAAAGACCTGCAGACCATGAATGGAGGGGAAACAATGGAATAAGAAACCCAAAGTGTCCATTCATAACTGGCGTTGTGGAGGCTGACTGAAGGTCCCTGCTGAGCGCTTCCTGTCCCTGACTGAAGGTCCCTGCTGAGCGCTTCCTGTCCCTGACTGAAGGTCCCTGCTGAGCGCTTCCTGTCCCTGACTGAAGGTCCCTGCTGAGCGCTTCCTGTGGCCCGAGGTCAAACAATGGAGGCATTGATCTTGAAAGACAAGAGTGCTCGTTGAAGCCTTTACTTCATGAGTCAGTCCACCCAAAAGTGTCACTGATCTGCCTGTTATATCTCATAAGGGGTAGATTCGCCCGATCTATGAACGCCTTAGAGAGCAGGGGGTAGCACTACAGAAATACTGGATAGTAAAACCGAAAAGGAAATTTGGAGGCAGTTTGGTGTCACCCCTCGAGGTCCTGCCAGACTACACCATGGCCTAAGTTGGAGACATCCAACCTAAACCTCTGAGCAGTCTGAAAGAAGCTTGTCAGTACATGTCCATGGGGGGGTTTCGAGAGGGGGGCGGGGGTCAATGCCACTTGGATTGCCCTAATAAAAACAAAATGGTCAATAAGTACATTTTCTCAATCAGCTGCTTCTCGTCCAAGGCGCTGGAAAGATCCCTCTTATTCCCGAGAACCAGAACCTGAAAATAAACCAAAATAAGGATTACGACCCCAAAACACTACAGCAGACCGATCATCAGAGGGAGGGGCGGCTCCCCAATCCTCATCACTGGAATATTCTAACTGTTCTGGAGGGTTTCTATTCTTATTTCTCTATGGGTTTGGAATTGATGGACTTTGTATCAACCGGACAAACTATGTAACTAAATGTAACTGTAACGATGTATCTAATAATGACCGTGTATATAACGTCTATAGGTCACTCTGAATCTCTGTCATCAGATCCCCATGGAGAGGTGCCATCCCTCTCACCGCTCCCTGCTCTCAGTGGTCTGTAGAATCCAGTAGCCAATCACATTTCTGATTGGCTGGGACAGGCTTCTGCTGTGCGCCTCATTGGCCGTCACGTACCGGTATCCCCTGTAGCTGCGGCTTATCCAGAAGATTGTGCAGTTCATTCCGGGAAGCTTCGACCTTCTCCCGATCGGCTGCGTCCACCATGTACCTGATGGGAGAAGGAGAGCCGCGTCAGGCTATGTTTATTTAAAGTTGAAGTCAAAGCAAACATCTGAATACACAACAGGAAGCCCCGTCTATATGGAGCAGTGAGCGGTCTTTATTACAGGAGGGGGCGGAGACAAGACCAGTCACCCTGCACAAGGAGAGAGAGCAGCAGTGAGCGGTCTTTATTACAGGAAGCTCCCCAAGCTTGAAGGAAGAACACAGGACTTTTGTATGAGGACTCATCCCGCTTGTAGAATGAAAACTTACACTATGGCATTGACCCCCCGACAATATCGCTCCCACATACTGCGGAACCGCGGCTGCCCGCCGATATCCCAGATCTGCCAATGAAAAGAACAGAGGATGGTAAAAATATCGGACTGAGAACCTGAGCTCCGCCCATCTCGGAACAAAGCTCCTTCCGCTGTCACCCAATCAGCTGCGCCCAGGGAATTCCCCACCTGCAGGTAAAAGGGTGGAATGCAGTGACATCATCGACCTTATATGGCCACATGATGTTGACCTAATATGGTCATGTGGCCATATAAGGTCCATGACCTCAGCACAAGCTAGCCCTTTGTTTATGGTCGGCTGTAGGGCGGAGAATTCCCCGTCACAAAGCAGCTGGTAAGCAAAGGGGCGGGATGCTGTGATGTCATTGACCTTATATGGCTACATTCGGTCAATGACATTGACCTAATATGGTCACGTGGCCATACAAGGTCAATGACCTCAGTACAAACATCCCACCCCTTTGTTTATGGTCGGCTGTAGGGCGGGGAATGCCCCGCCCAAAGCAAAGGGGCGGGATGCTGTGACGTCAGTGACCTAATATGGTCATGTGGCCATATAAGGTCAATGACCTCAGCACAAGCCAGCCCCTTTGTTTATGGTCAGCTGTAGGGCGGGGAATGCCCCGGTCCACAGCTGATTGGCCACCCATTTTCACAGGAGCTCAGGGTCAAAGGGCCCGAATGAAGGATCACATTCCAAATTTACAACATTATAAAGTTTAGAATTGACTGAATATCAGAACAACGGAGGGATCTGGAATCTGCAGAACAGACAAGGCCTGGTACGGATCTCCAGGTGAAGTGGAACTACAAGTCCCAGCATGCCTTGCCGGTCTATGATCTGCAGATCTCCGATAGTGGGAGGAGCTCAGGTCACCTGACTGTTCTAGACCGTAGACAATAGCGCGGGACTTGTCACCTCACCTTTATGGTCACGTTCCCTTTGGTGACTTTGCGCATGTTGAATCCGACCGTAGGGATCATGTCCTCGCTGAACTGCCCCGACTGGAGGAAGGAAACACAAGAGAAGAGGTAAAAGGCGCGGAACTACAAGTCCCATGAGGCATTGCAAGCCTCAAACAGCTACAGCCATGGCTCCAGGAGACAGATGCATGATGGGACTTGCAGTTTCTCCACAGCCAGAAGGCCGGAGTTTGCAATCCCCGGTACAATAAAAGGGTTTATAATGGGGGGGGGGTCACTTCCTGTTGAGGGGGCTGAAGAACTGACTGAAGACAGTTTGCTCTTTGAGCAGCGGTAGGACAAGATGTTGGTCCACCTGCTGGGACTTGTAGTCCCACGACAGCAGCCGCCCGGTTCCACCGGTCTGGGTTACTCAGCCCGGCAGAGTTTTGGGTGGAGACGATCACTCCCCGCTCATTATTTATAAACGCGGAGCAATGCCGAGGCTCCGACATGTCTGCTCCGGGAATGTGGAAAAGTCAATGGTGGAGGAGTGTCATCCCCGGCCGCAGGATTCCTTCAACTGACTTCCCATCACTGCAAAACTGTCAGAGAGTGACACCCCAATAATGAGGATTCAGGAGGGGACAGAGACCCACTGATGGGGGTTATAGCTCCCGCAGGACCCCATGCTGGGCCTTGTAGTTCCCCGGGGCCCTATGTTTATATATTTGTGGTCCCCCCCTACCACATGCTGGGAGCTGGGAAATGGTAGCTCTCTATGCTGGGAACTGTAGTTCCCCAAGGTCCCATGCTGGTAGTTGTAGCCCCACCCACCAGTGTCTATGCTGGAAACTCCCATCTCCCCATGATGAGCGTTGTAGTCCCCACCAGGGTGAGAGCTCCAGCCACTGCCATCCCCCAATGTCCATGCTGGGAATTGCAGTCCTCCTATGATGGGAGCTGCAGTCCACCCTCATGTGGATTGTAGTGCCCACCCACCGGTGACAGGGGTTGTACTGACACCCCCCCTCCATGATGGGGGTTGTAGTCCACCCACCCTGATGGTAGTTCTGCCCCTTCCCATCATGATAGCAGTTGTAGTCCCTTCATTCTGAGAGCTGTAGCCTTTCCCCCCACCCCCCGATGATGGGGGTTGTAGTCCACCCACCCTGATGGTAGTTCTGCCCCTTCCCATCATGATAGCAGTTGTAGTCCCTTCATTCTGAGAGCTGTAGCCTATCCCCCCCACCCCCCGAAGATGGGGGTTGTAGTCCACCCACCCTGATGGTAGTTCTGCCCCTTCCCATCATGATAGCAGTTGTAGTCCCTTCATTCTGAGAGCTGTAGCCTTTCCCCCCCACCCCCCGATGAAGGGAGTTGTAGTCCCCCATCCC